CTGCTGGCTAAGGATAAACGTAAATACAGTAAGATTGTTATTCACGTCGGCGGTAATGACTCCCGGTTACGCCAATCGGAGGTCACTAAGATTAATGTTGAGTCGGTGTGTACATATGCAAAAACAATGTCGGACACCGTAGTTTTCTCTGGACCTCTGCCAAATCTGACCAGTGATGACATGTACAGCCGCATGTCGTCATTCCGCCGCTGGTTGTCGAGGTGGTGTCCAGCAAACGATGTGGGCTTTGTAGATCATTGGCAGACTTTCTGGGGAAGACCTGGTCTGATTCGGAGAGACAGCATCCATCCCACTTGGGAAGGAGCAGCTCTCATTTCAAGAAATCAAGTTTATTAGCGGACCAAATCCATGACAAACCAGAGTTGAGACCAGGAGGCAGAGTTTAACACACTTCTCTGCCCTTCTAATTCAGCAGTTACCCACCCAAAACCCTACGCAGAGTCGCAGTCTAACACACTTCTCTGCTCCTCCATTCCAGGAGTTACTTAGTGAAAACCCTATAGTGCGAAATTATTTAAATCAAAGGTAAACAAAGAGGAGCTGTGCATAAAAACTTCATAAAAATTAAAACCAAAAGAGCAATAGTGCAAACGAATAAGAAAATTACATGTGGACACATCAGATCTCTCTCTTCTAAAGGTGTACTAGTAAATGAACTAATATCAGATTATGATATTGATTTATTTTGTCTTACTGAAACCTGGCTGGGTGATGGAGAATATGTTAGACTAAATTAATCCACCCGTCCCAGTCATATTAATACTCACATTCCTCGAGGCACAGGCCGAGGAGGTGGAGTTGCAGCTATCTTTGACTCTAGCCTACTAATCAGCTCTAAACCTAAACTAAACTATAACTCATTTGAAAGCCTTGTTCTTAGTCTTTCACATCCAAGTTGGAAATCACTGCAACCAATTCTTTTTGTTGTATTGCTGAACTACACGCCATTGGGCAAAAATTTCAATTTAAGATGTCTGTCTGATAGTGCTGTAGCTAAATTTAAGGATGCGATTCCATCAGCTCTAAATTCATTATCAAAGTCACAAATTAACGGAGGACTCCTATGCTAATTTCAATCCCTCCCAAGTAAATCATCTTGTTGATAGCGCGGCAGGCTCGCTGTGAAGGACACTCGACTCTGTTGCGCCTGTAAAAAAAGATAATAATACTAAAACTCGAAAATTAAAGCAAATATTGCGGAAACTTGAGAGGAATTGGCGTTCCAATGGCAAAATAGTCTTAAAACTTTTCCTCCGTAATGCCAGGGCAGCATACTACTCGTCAGTAATAGAGGAAAATAGGACAACCCCAGGTTTCAGGAGAGTCACAGCTCTATTGAGCTATGTATTCCCATAGCTCTCAGTAGTTAAGACTTCATGAGCTTCTTTAATGATAAAATTCTAACTATTAGAAACACCAAATTATCTCCAAACTCAAACCAGATATAGGTTTAGACTGCTTTACTTCCCTCAATCTTTACCAACTAACTTCAATAATTTCTTCATCTAAACCATCAACCTGCCTCTTAGACCCCATCCCGACTAGGTTGCTTAAAGAAGTTTTACCCTTAGTCAGCACTTCTATATTAGATATGATCAATCTATCTTTATCAACAGGCTATGTACCACAGTACTTTAAAGTAGCTGTAATTAAACCTCTTCTGAAAAAGCCCAAACTTGATCCAGATGTTTTAGCCAACTATAGACCTATATCTAACCTTCCATTTCTCTCTAAGGTTCTGGAGAAAGCAGTTGCTAAACAGCTGTGTGACTTTCTACAGAGCAATAGTTTATTTGAGGATTTTCAGTCAGGATTTAGAGCTCATCATAGCACAGAGACAGCACTGGTGAAAATTACTTGAAAATTACTAATGACCTCCTTTTTGCATCAGACAAAGGACTTGTCTCTGTACTGGTTTTAATAAATCTTAGTGCTGCATTTGATACCATTGACCATCAGATCCTATTACAGGGACCGGAACATTTCATTGGTTTAAGTCCTATTTATCAGATCGATTTCAGTTTGTTCATGTTAACGATGAGTCCTCCATGCATGCCAAAGTTAGTCATGGAGTTCCTCAAGGATCTGTCCTCGGACCAATCCTCTTTACTTTATATATGCTTCCTTTAGGCATTATTATCAGGAAACACTCCATAAACTTTCATTGTTATGCAGATGATACTCAGTTATATCTATCGATCAAGCCAGATGAAATTCATAAGTTAGCTAAACTTCAAATGTGCCTTCAGGATGTTAAAACCTGGATGACCTGTAATTTTCTAATGTTAAACTCAGATAAAACTGAAGTTGGAATCCGTGAGAAATCTTGGAGTTATCTTTGATCAGGACATGTCGTTTAAGTCTCACATTAAGCAAATTTCAAGGACCGCCTTTTTTCACCTACGTAATATTGCAAAGATCAGGAACATCCTGTCTAAAAATGATGCAGAAAAACTAGTCCATGCATTTGTTACTTCTAGGCTGGATTACTGACATTCCTTATTGTCAGGCTGCTCGAAAAAGTCTCTTCAGCTGATCCAGAATGCTGCAGCACGTGTTCTGACAGGAACCAGGAAAAGATCACCTGTCTTAGCTTCTCTGCATTGGCTTCCAGTAAAATCCAGAATAGAATTTAAAATCTTACCTACAAAGCTCTTAATGGTCAGGCATCATCTTATCTTAAAGCGCTCAGCTATCAAGCTCCTCTCCTGTGGAACCAGGTTTCACCAGGTTTGGGTTCAGGAGGCAGATTCAGATGAGTCCTGAACCATCCCTTAGTTATGCTGCTATAGGCCTAGACTGCCGGGGAATTTCCCATGATGCACTGAGCTCCTCTCTCCTCTTCTTTCTCTCCCTCTTTATGCAACCTCATCCCATTAATCCATGTTACTAACACAACTTCTCCCCTTTCCGGTAGTCTTGTGCTTTTCTCGTCCCTCTCCTCTCTCCTCCTATCACTTCAGGTAACTATCAGCAGCCCAGTGTACTTGTTTGTTGTGTGTGGCACTTCAACTGGTTCCCATGAAACCAAGGTATCTAAAATTGTGTAACTCGTAGTTAGGGGGGTTCATTGGCTGTTGTTCATGTTCTTTTCATATTACTTATGTCTGATTGGCATAGATTTGTAAGGGGGTGGGAGTTGGGGGACAGGACAGGAGTCGGGAGGGAATGAGGGGAGAGTGAGAGTGTAACATTGAGAGATGAACACGGAAAGAATATCTGCATATATGTCGCATTTTCTCATTCATACTGAACAAAAGTTTGCAGTTTGCAGCATTATCCTGCAACCATGTGTGTTTTCACATAACAGCCCAGCTTTACCGGAACCAGAGGCATGTAATAAGACAGCATGCCGGTTGTGGCTTTTCACAGAGAGATTGTTCCGTGTCTCTGTCTTGTCTCTGTCACCAACTTTCCCGGTTCTGAGGCGGATCAAATCGGACCTCCCTTTCCAGGTCTGTACCTTACACATGGCTCAATACCCCCGTGAAATAAGGCAGTGTGAAAGCAGGTAGTGTTGGGAGCAAATTACAAAAGTTGTGCTTGGAGTGCTTTTAGGTTTTTAGCTTTAAACGTAAATGTAAATGCTCTGTATTTTTATAATGCCTTTCTAGTCTTTTCGACTACTCAAAGCACTTTTACACTACATCTGCATTCACCATTCACTCATTCACATTTATACACTGAGCCTAAGTGCTCAAACCGAAACTAACATTCACTCACATTCATACACTGGCGGAACAGCCGCCAGGGGCAATTCGTTGTTCAGTATCTTGCCCAAGGACCTTCCGATTAACGGGCAAAGTGCTCTACCTCCTGATCCACAGCTGCCCCAATCCAACAAAATGAAACCAACAAAACAAAAAAAACGAAGCAGAGGAAGAAGAGGCTGAAGCAGAACATTAAAATGTTCAGTCAGGCTGTCCAGTCTAGTGTCTGATGCACTGACAGATCTCCTAATGGTCCAGCTGTCCTACCCGGAGATCAAGTAATACCATCCATCAAGTGTATAAAAAATGTTGATTCAACAAAAGCTGTGATGCTGTGGCACAAGGACTCTGTGAGGCCAGGAGAGGGTGATTGTAGAAAGAGAGTAGTCTGATGAGGAGGTTTACGTTGAATGATTAATAAGCATCTTTTAAGTTTATAAAACAATTTACTGTTATTTAAAGACCAAGACTGCACTGACTGGGATGTTTTCAGGACTGCTACCAATAACCTGGATGAGTATACAGAAGCTGTGACATCCTACATCAGTTTCTGTGAGGACAGCTGCATTCCAACACGTACCAGGGTGAGTTATGAGAATGACAAACCCTGGTTCACAGCTAAACTCACAGCTGAGGTTGGAAAAGGAAGAGGCATTTAGAAGTGGCAACCAGGCCAGGTTTAAGGAGTCAAAGCACAGGTTTAGCAAAGCAGTGCAAGATGCTTAGCAGCTGTAAGCAGAGAGATTACAGCACCAGTTCTCCAAAAATGACTCTGCTTCTGTCTGGAGAAGCTTCAGACACCACCCTCATTGGGCTCATCTCTGGTGGTAATGAGGGAGATTAAAGTTTGATGTTTCTAACAAATGTGTATTTCTATTCAATAAGACTCCGAACTCAGGCCTACTTACTACTTTGACAAAGATGATAGTTTTTGCTGAAGGAGGTGCGAGGTGTTAAAAAAGAGAAAATAGAGGAACCTGCCGTTTAACTCTTGTTGTGTGTCCATACCTGAGAGTGTCCAGTCTCCACTGTGGATCATCCAGTCCATCAGACAGCAGTTTCACCCCTGACTCTCCTGGATGATTGTAGCGCAGGTCCAGCTCTCTCAGATGGGAAGGGTTAGCACTCAGAGCTGAAGCTAGAGAAGCACAGCCTTCCTCTTTGATCAGACATCCTGACAGACTGGAATCAGGGAAACATCATAACCTCAGGTTTTCAGAAGGAAAATGAACCTACATGACTCTGATAACTGAATAACTGAATCCTGACCTGAGAGTTTCCAGTTTACAGTGGGGACTCTCCAGTCCAGCAGACAGCAGCTTCATTCCTGAATCCTGCAGGTTGTTGTTACTCAGGTCCAGCTCTCTCAGACTAGAGGACTGGGAACTGAGAACTGAGGACAGAGCTTCACAGCTTCTCCCTGAGAGGTTACAGCCACCCAACCTGATGAAGGATTAACAATGGACACAAACTAAATGTTTGTCAAACATGAAATGAAGCTTTTTTAAATTGTTCATATATCCACCTACAGAGCTTTGTTGGAGGCTTTGACCACCGGCAGCAGCCTCAGAAGAGCCTCCTCTGAAGCAGAGTATTTCTTCAGGTCAAACACGTCCAGATCTTTTTCTGATGACAGTAAGATGAAGACCAGAGCAGACCACTGAGCAGGAGAGAGTTTATTTGTGTAGAGACGTCCTGATCTCAGGGACTGTTGGATCTCCTCCACTAGAGAACGATCATTCAGTTCATTCAGACAGTGGAACAGATTGATGCTTCTCTCTGGAGACAGATCCTCAGTGATCTCTTTCTTGATTACCTCAATTGTTTTCTGACTGGTCTTTGAGCTTTTTCTTGTCTCTGTCATCAGACCTCGTAGGAGATTCTGATTGGTCTGCAGTGAAAGACCCAGGAGGAAGCGAAGGAACAAGTCCAGGTGTCCATTTGGACTCTGTAAGGCCTTGTCCACAGCACTCTGGTAGAGATGTATTAGTTTAGGTTTGTCTCTGGAGACTTTAGACTGCCGGGTGTTTGATTGTTCTTCGGCCAGCAGATTGACACCAGAGTTGATGAAGGTCAGATGGACATGAAGAGCAGCCAGAAACTCCTGAACACTCAGATGGACGAAGCAGAACACCTTGTCCTGGTACAGCCCTCTCTCCTCTTTAAAGATCTGTGTGAACACTCCTGAGTACACTGAGGCTGCTCTGATATCGATGCCACACTCTGTCAGGTCGGATTCATAGAAGATCAGGTTGCCTTTCTGCAGCTGCTCAAAAGCCAGTTTTCCCAGAGACTCAATCATCTCCCTGCTCTTTTTATTCCAGTGTGGATCTGTCTCAGCTCCTCCATCATACTTGGTGTTCTTCAGTTTGGACTGAACCACCAGGAAGTGGATGTACATCTCAGTCAAGGTCTTGGGAAGCTCTCCTCCCTCTCTGGTCTCCAACACCTCCTCTAGAACTGTAGCAGTGATCCAGCAGAAGACTGGGATGTGGCACATGATGTGGAGGCTTCGTGATGTCTTGATGTGGGAGATGATTCTACTGGCCTGCTCCTCATCTCTGAATCTCTTCCTGAAGTACTCCTCCTTCTGTGGGTCAGTGAACCCTCTGACCTCTGTCACCATGTCAACACACTCAGGAGGGATCTGATTGGCTGCTGCAGGTCGTGTGGTTATCCAGAGGCGAGCAGAGGGAAGCAGGTTCCCCCTGATGAGGTTTGTCAGCAGCACATCCACTGAGGTGGACTCTGTAACATCAGTCAGGACCTCATTGTTGTGGAAGTCCAGAGGAAGTCGACACTCATCCAGACCGTCAAAGATGAACACAACCTGGAACTCTTCAAAGCTGCAGATTCCTGCTTCTTTGGTTTCAGGAAAGAAGTGATGAACAAGTTCCACCAAGCTGTACTTTTTCTCTTTCAGCACATTCAGCTCTCTGAAAGTGAATGGAAATGTGAACTGTATGTCCTGGTTGGCTTTGTCTTCAGCCCAGTCCAGAGTGAACTTCTGTGTTAAGACTGTTTTCCCAATGCCAGCCACTCCCTTTGTCATCACTGTTCTGATTGGTTCATCTCTTCCAGGTGAGGCTTTAAAGATGTCTTCTTGTCTGATGGTGGTTTCTGGTCTGTCTGGTTTCCTGGATGCTGTTTCAATCTGTCTGACCTCATGTTCATCATTGACCTCTGCAGTCCCTCCCTCTGTGATGTAGAGCTCTGTGTAGATCTGGTTCAGAAGGGTTGGGTTTCCTGCTTTAGCAATCCCCTCAAACACACACTGGAACTTCTTCTTCAGGTTAGACTTGAGTTTACGTCGGCACACTGGAGCAACAGTTCCTGAATGAAGAAACAACAAATGTGATTAATAAGTGGATGCTACAGTAAATCTGATTAATGTAAACTTTAAGACATCAAGATGGTATTTATTTTCCTCCTCCATGAAATCTCTTCAGCTCATCAGCTGTGAACAGTTTCTGAGTTTCAGCCCAGAAGAATTCATAGATCTGATCCAAATGTGTGCATCATATTAACAGCAGAGTTTGAAATGGAAACTTCTCCCATGTTGCCTCCATTTCCTCTTTCCATCATGTTAAATCTGTTCAAATCCTCTTACTGCTCTGCAGACGCTCAGCCAGCTCCTCCTGCTTCATTCTCCTCAGGAAGTGCAGTGTGATCTTCAGAAATGCCTCTCTGCTGCTCCTCCTCTGCTCCTCCTCCTCACCGTCCAACACCTCCTCATCCTCCCTCTGACTCTCTAAGCATTCTGGGTAATCTGGACCCAGAACTCTCTGGAACTTCTTCACCTCGTTCTTCACAAAACTGACAATGTTTTCCTGGAGCAGCTGGAACAGAAGAAAATGTAAAGGTGAACTGGTAGAAGTCAACATCAGATCATCTGTGACAGACAGAAAGCCTGCTGGTCTGCAGAGTGCAGCATGGAGACTTACTTTGTGGACTGCCCTGTCTCGTAGAAATATGTTTATACACTAATTTACAAAAGGAAACATGTTTTGAAGTGAACATAATGCTTGCCAGATTAGATTTTTTATCAACATAATGAGGAACTGTTGATAAAGAACACATGTAGCAAATCCCCAAAGTTCCAAGTTGATGTTAATAAGTACTGTTAACATATGTGTAATTAGGTGTATAACGGAGTGAAATTTAATTGTGGTTATTTGATTACTTTCTGTGTTTTACACTTTTTAGATAAATTTTGCTTTGTCAAGTAGTCACATACAATTGTAGTAAGAAGCCTTGGTTTAAAACAAATGGATTCATTCTGATATTTCCATTATACTTTCAGTGCAGGCGGAGTGCGACTTGTTCTCAGCGACTTGTCTCTCTGTCTCTAGGCCAGAGAACAGCAGTTTTAATTTAATTTGCCAATGAATGCTAAGAGTGGAATCAGCTGAGCTGTCAGCTGATGTGCTGCTGAAGATGGCTGCTATCAGCTGACATGCTGGAATGAGCTGAGTTTGACTTCATCGCCTGCCTGAACTGAAATGTTTTTCTAGTGTCACAACCCCCATGAAATGACTCATTCCACTATCAGAATTTGAGCCATTCAGTTTTATAACATTTTTAAATTCTAGAAGAGACTCTTGATTACCATATTACACCCACTGAAGTTAGTGGAGGGCTAAACCAAAAGGTAGGAAGTCCTTTCTATCAAACATAGAAAATCCCCCAGCCTTCATTTTGATATAAGAATAAATGCTCACAACATGGCTATGGAGTAGACTTGGTGTAAAAGGATAAATTAGACAATCAGTGAACAAAGGAAGTAAATCAAACCAAAGATACAACAAATAATGCACACACCAACCTCTCCAGAACCGTAACACGTGAAAATTGTTAGTTTTGGCAGACATGTAGTAATATTCATATAATTCCTGATTATTGTTTGTATTAGGATATGTAATATTACAGTACATTTTACTGCATATGGAGGAAATTGTGTTTTCCTTCATTCAGTTGTATTTTGTTATTCTTCCTCTTTAAAGAAACCACAACTAGACATAAACACGCAGCTGTTACTGCATGACTACTGGATATCTGTATATGTGTTACTACAAAGGGAAGAATTAAACAGTATATAAACCATCTCTCAGTTCTTTATTTCGTACTTTGGGGCCTCAAGTGTTAATCTACCGACACACCGTGACCCTAGTGACAGATCCGTCCATATTTGCCAGATCAGATGTTTACCTTTGTGACAACCTTTGTTGTTTTCTTGTTGTGATTTCCCTTGTGTCTAATCTGTGTGTTTTCCCCTGCCTGCTAAGATTAACAAGTTATCTGTGGTCTCTGCCTGCCTGCCTCGCTCTGCAACCTGCACACCATCTGCCAGCTCAATCTGTTCTGCCTGGACGGGATGCTCTGTCATGTGAATTCCCTCCTGTTGATGTCCTATTTAGTAAACAGTAATAGATTCTGGAAACTCACAAACAGCGAGGATCAGTCTCTCTTCCAATGATTTGTGCTGCGCGACAATTCAACTTCGGCGGCAGGCGTGAGGCAAGCACTTCCTCTCACTCTAACAGGGACACTTGCTACTGAACACAAACTGTTTCTGCTGCCACCTGATAAAAGAAAATTAGCAGTATTAGCTCTGTTTGTACATTTACACACCATGAATATGGAGTCCAGGTGTGCTTGATGCTGCTGAGCAGATTGACCTCTGGGATCCTTTGAGCCCTGCCGCTTAACTCTGTGAAGACATATGATGATACATATAATGGCAAACAGTAAAATATGTGAGGTGTTATATCTTGTGGATCCTGATAGAAACAGATCCTCATACACATTGAAAAATGCTAACATCTTCATCATAATTATTTCTGGGTAAAATGCTGTTTAGAAATATTAAATTATCAATTTATGCAAAAAGTCAATTACTTGTCAAAATGCTTTTCTTGTATCTTGGAATAGAAACGGATGAAGTGGTCACTTTTCATGGAAACACAGTTGGGTGCAGGGTAGACTGGACTCTGCTGTTGGATCCTGATAGAAACACAACACTGATAAATGCCCAGGTTCTGAGATAAAACGCTGCTGAAAAATTTTGAGGTTCAAATATTTTAATACTGATACACAAAAATAAATCCCACTTTAAATTCTTACCCTTGACTATCAGAATGCTGTCCATCTTTCAACTCAATAGGTCTGCCCATGGACTGGTCACTCTTCATGAACACACAGCTGGGTTCAGGTCTCTGCTCATGGATCCTGGTATGAACAAAGAACTGACAGGTCAAATGTGTCCTCAAAGCAGATTTAATAGAAATATTTATGTGTTGGTGTCTCTAGTAGTGAGTTGTCAGCTGAATCTGCAGTTTCTCTGCGTTAGAGTTAGACTTTTAGTTGTTTGTTTTTTTATTACCTTTATTTTACCAGGAAGTCCCATTGAGATCAAAAATCTCTTTACCAGAGAGACCTGGCCAAGGTAGCAGCCATACATAAACACAACATATTAAAATGCTACATATACAACTGGACAAAAAAAAAAAAAAAACATCTGTTCAACATAATGGCCTCTCAAGAAAAACTTTATCAGACTCTTAAATTTATCAATGGATATTCATGTTTCCAATTTCAGATCTTTTTGCAAATTATTCCATGCCCAGGGTGCATAGTATGACAATGCATCCAACGAAGGTTAAAATGAAGGGCAACTGGACTTGGTTGAAGCTACTGGAAGACGTTTCGTCCCTTATCCAAAGGACTTCTTCAGTTCTGACTGACTGGCAGGGAAACTCAGCTGTTTAACCTCAGTGGGATCGTTATCCCGGGTCATCGATACCGCTGGTTCGTTAGTGTTCCTTGTTGCTGTGACGACAGTCGTTACAGTCGTTAAGACTACCTGTGGCCAAGACTGAACGACCATCGTTGGTATCTTCACCTGAGGCCAATAGGTTACGTTTGTTGAGTTTCCTGGGAAGTGATGAAAGGACAGCATTGTAAGTGGGGGATAAGTGGTGGCGTAGACCCCCTCCTCTGTTCAATGACGGCTTCTCAACCCTGGTGTAGATGGCTTCCTTGACACCTCTTTCAAACCATCCAACTTCTCTGTCTAAAATGTGCACCTGGTGGTCCTCAAACGAGTGTCCTCTGTCCTTCAGATGTAAGTAGACAGCAGAGTCTTGACCTGAGGAGTTGGCCCTTCTGTGTTGAGCCATGCGTTTGTGTAGTGGTTGTTTAGTCTCCCCAATATACAGGTCTGTGCATTCCTCACTGCAAAGAAGGTCAAACGCAACAACATTGTGATTCCATACGTGTCTGGAGTATCAGAGAAACTCAGGAGGGTTTTTTAACAAACATCACATCCCTGTGTTTTTTAAACCCAAGAACACACTAAGACAGATGCTGGTACACCCCAAAGACCACACACAAACACAAGAAAAGCAATCTAGTGTATGCGGTCCAATGCAGTGAGGAATGCACAGACCTGTATATTGGGGAGACTAAACAACCACTACACAAACGCATGGCTCAACACAGAAGGGCCAACTCCTCAGGTCAAGACTCTGCTGTCTACTTACATCTGAAGGACAGAGGACACTCGTTTGAGGACCACCAGGTGCACATTTTAGACAGAGAAGTTGGATGGTTTGAAAGAGGTGTCAAGGAAGCCATCTACACCAGGGTTGAGAAGCCGTCATTGAACAGAGGAGGGGGTCTACGCCACCACTTATCCCCCACTTACAATGCTGTCCTTTCATCACTTCCCAGGAAACTCAACAAACGTAACCTATTGGCCTCAGGTGAAGATACCAACGATGGTCGTTCAGTCTTGGCCACAGGTAGTCTTAACGACTGTAACGACTGTCGTCACAGCAACAAGGAACACTAACGAACCAGCGGTATCGATGACCCGGGATAACGATCCCACTGAGGTTAAACAGCTGAGTTTCCCTGCCAGTCAGTCAGAACTGAAGAAGTCCTTTGGATAAGGGACGAAACGTCTTCCAGTAGCTTCAACCAAGTCCAGTTGCCCTTCATTTTAACCTTCGTTGGATAACTATGACCTGGATGACTGAGAATCTTCATAGACATATGACAATGCAGTTTTCCCCAGATCTGTCAAAACCCTGGGTACATTAAAAAGCAACCACTTGGAGGAGCGTAGCTGGTTACTTAGCAGAATTTAATTTGTCTGTCTGGCTGCAACTTTACTGTGGGCAGCTCAGAACTAAATTTTATTCACCCGCATTGTCCTTTAAAAGCAAGAGGAGGCTCCATAGACCGATCACTCTTCACAGACACACAGCTGGATCCAGGTCCAGGTCCAGGTCCAGGTCCAGCAGAGTCTGGTCCCTGCTGCTGCTCTGGGCTTCAACACAACACACACAGAGCTTTGAGAGTGAATAATGATGGTGGAGTGATTTGAGTCCTGGACAGTTAGAGATCCTCATCTCACCTCTGAGCTTTGGTCTGGCTGTCATGTTCCCCACACAGAGTGCTTTTAGAGGGAGGGACTCCCTCCTCTCTGTCCTCACACTGATTCATAGCAGAGCCCACACCTTCACACAAACACAACAACATGCTGAGAGAGCTGCACTCATTCATTACAACAAGCTTTACATCTCAGGACACTTTAGAATTTAAATTAGTTAGAAAGTCTAAACACTGAACGCTTGTTATATGCTGAAGAATAAACTGCATTTGGCGGTTTTCTGGGTGCCAAGAGAAAATTAAGGTCTGTGTCTTCAAGTCTTGAAATGAGAGACACACCCTGCATGTTTCACTGATGATGTGAGCTCAGACTACAATCAGACTGCTGCTGATTCTACTTGAGAAACATGAACAATATTACAGGGAAATCTTTCTGAAATCATTGTTCTTTAATTCGGAGAGAAATTCTACAGCAGATTTCAAAGAGATATTTAGAAACAGCCAATCAGCATCAAGAAGCATTTCTACTGTCCAGTTAAACAGTGATCCAGCACAATGTGATCAAAGTGATCCTGATTATCAGACATTTGGTCGGATTCTCACCTGCTGAACTCACTTCAGGTCGACTTACAGACACTTTGCACCTTCATGTGTGGAGGAAACACTGGGAGAGAAGAAGCTGCTCTTTTCTTCCTTGTCAGTCCTGGTGTCTGTGTGGATCTGATCTGAGGACGCCGTCACAGCCTCATAACTTCAGAGTCTAAAAAACATCAGAGTGACGTCAAAACCGGTCTAACCTGTGGCAGAAACCCAGTCAGTGTAACTGTCCTTTGGCGAAGGGGGGGGGTTTACACATGCCAACATGTGAATGGGGAATACCGTATATTTATTACAAAGACATCAGACTTTTGAGGGTATTTATTTATTTGTTGGAAACTGAACCATAACCTCAACACATCTCGAGAGACGAGGAAACAGGTTGAACAGCAAGAATCTCAGAGACTCAGGAACGACAGGAATGAAGCAGAAAAAGAAGACGGACCTCATTCTGCAGCTTGCTGTCTGTTTTAAAGTCACATTGTTGACTTAGCTGCGGACGAGTGTTTTTAAATCACCTTGTCCACTCAAACTGTGTGTTTGCTGTTTGTCTCATCTATTGTCCCGTATTGTTTTTAACCCTCTGTGGTGGAACTGAATATTTTCCAGAATGCAGTTAAGGTCCTAACTAACTAACTAACTAACTAACTAACTAACTAACTAACTCTGTCAGCAGACAAAGAAGAGGGAGAAGCTCAGTTGCACATATTCAGTTGTATAAAGTTGCTTGTCGGTGTCACTTCTAATGAACTGACCACAACCTTAAAAAAGGACGAAGGCTACAGCAAACTTTCATAATAAGATATTTCTTTATTAATCCCCTGTACGGAAAAGTCACGTGAAAAAAACATTGAACTTGTTGTTCAATGAGGATTTAATAAATGAAAACAACCGACAAAAATTAAACTGCTGTTTCATCTAACTGGAATCAATATTATCCTAAATAGTGTACTATTATCTGAAACTAGCTTATAGCTGTTTAATATCAGAAAATGGCTTTATTTGTGAATATGTTGAATTTTTAAATCCTAACTAATTATATATATATATATATATATATATATATATATATATATATATATATATTGTTATTATTATTATTATTATTATTATTATTATTATTATTATATTGCATTACATTATACACTACACTTTTGAATTTTAAAATATTATTACTTTTCACTACAAGCACAGTATATATATTACAAAGTGATCAGACTTTTGGGAGGTATTGATTTATGTATTTAATTATGTATTATTGTTTTTCCTTCTGCTCAGGAAAACTAAGCTCCATCAAAACCTTTGAAAACTGAACCATAAATTCAACACGAGAAACAATTACAGCAACTGCTTTTATTTACAGAACAATTGAGGAGGAAAACATTTGTATTCTTAAATCAAATCAATCATAAGATCAAAAAAAAAGCAGGAACAGCCAATCAGAGACAAGGATTTAACCCACATTTGAATCCTGTTGGTCAATCTTTAAGAAAATAACACAGATTTAACTTAATTTTAAATTCAGTAATTAAAAACTACAGCAGATCAACCGTGATGACATTTAAATAAATTTTATTTTTGTAAAATCTCTCCAGCAGCAATTAATATATAATATAGTACATAATATAATTAATTAATGTTAAATTAACAGCAATGTGATAAATATAAAATACATAAATATATAAACAGGGGTGAAGTCAGACAAACACACAGACAGCACACACTTATAATATACACACACTAACAATACTAATAAACACCTTTCTCCTGATCACTGAGCTTCCTCTGTCTGAAGGGACGAAGTCAAGAGACGGCAGCTTTGTGTCCAGCTGCCCTCAAACAAGAATAAAATACTAAAAACACTAAACACTAGAAAAACAGTCAAAGCTGAGGAGAGAAAACACGCCAGCATCATGAAACACAAGACGTCCGTCAGACAGCTGCGAAACCTTTAAAGAGTTAATAAAACAGAGTCTGAGCTGGAATCAGTCCAATCAGGGTCCTTTCAGCCCACCTGAGGTTCTGCTGCCGGGTCAGATCCAAAGTAAAGAGCTCCACAGAGTCTTCTGACTGATGATAGGAACCAGATGAGAGTTCCTTCACTCTGATCCAGTGGTCCTAAACATTTCACAAACATGGGTTCAGTACTGTTGAACTGTTGAGAACCACTAGACCAAAGAGGATCAGCAGCGTCCGCCGGGCTGTGAAGCTCTGACCGGATCCTTCATTTATACCTGAACCTCCTCACCGAGGGAGGAGTGGAGGTCCGACCGGTCCGCCTGGCTCCTGCGGGGGTGGAGGGGGAGTGACCTGTTGGACTGGTGATGACACACCTGAGCTGCGTTCACATGGACTCACTTGTTCCACCGGTTTGTTCACCTGTTCACATGGGAGTATCACTGAAACATTCAGAGGCATTCAGAATTTATTTTAAACTACATGTTTAATGTGTCAGAGCTTCAGACTTTTAAAGGTTTAAATGTTTTACTTAAAAAATTTTTTTAAATGAAAATCAGGTTGAGCATCTTATCATTAAAACGCATTAACACTTAGTTATTAATGAGGCAAAGTGTGGGAACCAGGTAATGTCGTAATTATATTAATTATAAATGGGTTTGATAACTCACATCTCTAAAGCTCTGACGTCTCTCTGATTGGTGCTGTCTGTATTCTTTATTCTTTAGGCTCAGATATAATAAAGTAAGGCAGCCTCACAGGTCACCTGAGTCAATGAGTTTATTTTCATGTTTGGTTAGAAAGATGATGATGATCCAGATTATTTTCACCAACATGATGAAACGGTCACTGACGACATATTTAAATTCTTTGTAAACTGGCATATCTAACTTTCACGTTCAGGGTTGGGTTTTTCTTTATGGTGTTTTAGTTTCATCGTTTGTAAATTCAAAGTTCTTTTTTATATTTTATATTTTCATTTAATGTCTGAAAGGTTGTAACTTTGTGTTCAGGTTTGCAATTTAATCTTTGACCTTTCTGATATCAGGAGTTTCCAAACTTATTTGCTCTCTTCGCTGCATTAGTGATTCTCTGACCTTTTTTTCATTCAGCCTGATTCGGCCTGTGGACCACGGGTTGGGAAGCACTGATTACTATGATAACTGATCCATTTTAAAGCCAGATAGATCAATTAAAGACACCAGATCCCTGAATCTCAACCAGGCTGAAAGTCTTGGACCTACATGGTTTTCAGTGAACCTGTCGCCTCTGATCAGGTGTGTCTCAGGTGAACAGGAAGTGAGTCATGCTGTGGTTCGGCTGCATTCCTTCTGCCTGTTGACAAACCTGATCTCAGATTATCAGCACTCAGGTGACTTACACCTGAGACTCAAACAACATTTACCTGCTAAATACATCATGTTTAACTCTCTGCATCAGTGTTTAATGTTCAGTGTTACAAAAAGGATTATTTTATATATATATAAAAACACATTCTGCACATTTAATTTCTGACCTGCAGATTTATTTTTTTATTTCTTTGGAAGTTTTAAATTAGTCCTTACTCCGTTTGTCTCAAGAGACGAGGAAACAGGTTGAACAGAGAGTCACACTGAGTCTCAGGAAGGAAAGGAATGAAGAAGATGAAGAAGAAGACAAACCTCATTCTGCAGCTGGTTGTGCGTGCGTGCGTGCGTGCGTGCGTGCATGCGTGCAGTTCCGGTACACTTTGGGTCAGGTGGATCTCCACAAAGAAAAAGTCTCATATGATATTAACTGTGTTTAAATAATGCAATATCAATCAGAAAAGAAATTAACAGATCTATGGAAGATTTTATATTATATATATTTCACTTTCCACAAATGTCTTTTTACATTTGTTATGTGTAAAATCATATCCACAAAACACATTTGCAGTTTGCGTTCGGTCAAACTGTGGGTTTTATTACATTTGTTAGATCCTTTTTACACATTTGTGGAATTTTGTCCAATCTGTTCCACAGAGATCTACGGAAGCCCTAAGCGGCCATCGATTCAAATGCTTTTTTTACTCCGTTTTCCTGTGAAAACAGGACAATTATCTCGGAATCTTGAGATAACAAATGTTGTTTCCCTGTGGTAACGGGATGATGTTTTTGTGATCTTGAAATAACGAAACAGGAACATTTCTTAATGATAATTTCAGTGTGTTTTTTATGTCACTGGTTAGCTCAGTTGGTAGAGCACAGGATTCATAGTCTAACAGTTGTGTGTTTGATCCTCAATGAAGGTCTTTTTTTTTCATAATCCTCTTCAACAACAGAAAGTTTTTATGAAGAAGTGAAGAGTGAGACTGTTTCACATGCTCACAATAAAGCATGACTGTGCGCAAAATATTTTCAACTTCAAAAAGGGGTTGGACTTCCAGAAAGGTTAAGAACCCCTGCCTTAGATTAAAAGTGATACTGAAATACTTTCTGACATAATCCTAGAGAAACGCACCAACCACATTTTGCAAACATGCAAAAACAGTTTGGTTTAGAAGTCACTCTGTATTTTTGTGGATATGATTTCACACATCACAAATGTAAAAATACATATTCAGCTATGGTTTGTCATCTCGAGATCTCGAGAAAGATTTCCCATTTTTTTGTCAAAGTGAGGATGTAAAGTGAGGACATTTTCACAAAGCGGGGACATTTGAACAAAGTGTGGACGTTTCAACTTAGAGAGGACATTTTTAACAAAGAACCGACGTTTTGACAAAGTGTGGACATTTTTGACAAATTGAGGACATTTTCACAAATTGAGGACAATTTGACAAAGTGATGCCATTTCTACAAACGAAGACATTTTTGACAAATTGAGAATTTGAGGATGTTTAAACAAAGTGAGGACATTTTCACAAAGCATTTAAGTTTTCACAAATTAAGGATGTTTCGACAAAGTGAGGACGTTTCAACAAAGTGAGGACATTTTCACAAAGTGAGGACATTTCTACAAAATGAAGACATTTTTGACAATTTGAGGACATTTTGACAAAATCAGGACATTTTCATAAACAGGACAATTTGACAAAGTGTGGATGTTTTTACAAAGTGATGCCATTTCTACAAAATGAAGACATTTTTGACAAAGTAAGGACATTTTGACAAGTTGAGGACCTTTTCACAAAGCGGGGACGTTTCAACAAACTGAGAACACTATTTCAAAGTGAGGACTTATTTGACAAGGTGAGGATATTTTGACAAAGAGAAGACATTTCTACAAAGTGAAAGCTGTTTTACAAAGTGAAAACTTTGAAAAAACACTTTACAAAGTTTGGACATATTTTTGTCTATTTTATTTGTGTTGTTTCATGTGATTAAGCAGACAAAGTGTATGAAATATCTGAAGGTGACAAATCTTTGCTAAAAGAACAAGAAGTTCTTGTTCATCATCATCAGACTAAGCCAATCAGAGGCACAGTAGGGCGGGTCATGCCTTCCTCATAGAAGATTTTGCAAATTCATGTCAAATGCAGGAAAAAACACTACTTCCTCTGCTAACTTTCAAAATAAAATTAGGTCGAACACAATTAAATCTACAACACTTCACTTTATGATCTGCAACATGAAATTATCTGCAGACCTTAGAAATACAACAGACTCATAATAATAAACCAGGGATATTTAACACATCAGTGACTTCCTGTTACAATCAAACACTGACATTACTGAACACTGACATTATTTTACACACACACACTCAGAAACACACAAGCAGCCTGCATCCTGCTGTGTGAGGAGGTGGTGAGTGTGAACATATTGTCAGTCCGTATTTCAGTGTTTTCACCCTGAACGGCCTTTCATATAAATCTGACTCACAGTTTGAACAGACGGAATGAAACTGTTTATTTAAAAACAACATCTAATGAAAGAGAAGTACAGTTGTTTCAATGAAGAGATAAAGAACACTCCTCCTCCTCCTTCTGTTCCTTCTTGTCAAGGGGCTGTTTCTTCTTTCCTCCCTGACAGTCTGGAATCTGATTGGCTGAGAGCAGTTTAGGATGTCCCTCCTCCTCCAGTTTGACCTTTGACCTCCCTACTTTCTATCAGTCTGGATCCTTCTGCTGGTTTGATTCAGTTCAGACTGAACTCTCAGAAACTCCTTAGTAAGACGTGCACACACACACACACACACACACACACACACACACACACACACACACACTTGTCTAACTATCTTCTTGGGGACTTGTCATTGACATTATGCATTCTCTTCATCCTCAACTATCACAGCTACCTGCCTAACCTGAACCTCGTTCTAACCTGAACCCTAAAACCCTCAAACAGCCCTTTCAACTTGTGGGGTCCAGCATTTATATAATAAATAATAATAAATTTAATGTGTAATGCACTTACATGCAAGTGCTAAGCATTTTGTTCCCCACAAGTTGGTTGGTCCCCACAAGTATAGTAAAAAACTATTTTTGAACCCCACAATAGTAAAACAAAAACACTGATAACTTGACACACACACACACACACACACAGTCGTACTGAGTCTGAACTCAAAGCAAAGTTTTCCTTTTAACAGTCCTGCTGTGGTGTCACATTTGCAGTACTGCACGTACCTGTACTTTAGTTTCTGCCATGTTTATACTACTTAAAGACTGAGTGTTGGTGACCTTGAGTGTTTTAAAAGGCACCTATAAATAAACTGTATTATTATTATTATTATTATTATTATTATTATTATTAGTTCACATCTGAAATATTTAATAATATTTAATTATCACTGTGACTAATTAGGACAGTTTGTGTGTTGTTGGAGCTGATCAGCTGTCCTATATTTCATGGAGTAAAGACGACATTGCAGACTTTTGTTTTATCTATTTATTGTTTGTATCACTCTGTTATACTAACTCAAAAAAGCTTGTTTGAATGTTTGTACTTAAAATAGAATCCTTCCTCCTTGTGTACTTGTGATGTCTGTTCTTATGCTCAAGGATTTTCTGCTTGGCTGAGTTTCAGCTCTACTCGAGGGCCCCCTGTTCTGATTCAATAAATACCTCTGAGGTTGTTTTGTCAGCTTCTCTCAGGGCTGAGAAAGACTTCACAGACTGCTGACTGGGTGATAGCAATAATTCCTCCTGGTCAGACTCTCTGAACAAACAGTTTGCTGTAATTTATAAAATTTTTCTACATACATTTTCCACCACAAACTCTGCGACGAAGATCCGGACTTTGGTGGGGAACAGAGGCCAAAATCCAGTCCTGGATTAAAAGGCAAAGATCTGACACGGTGAGAAATGAACAACCAATATCACACACTGAGTCTGACAGAGCTAAGGAAGTCAAGTATTCTTTTTATAATATTTGAGAGTTTTCTTGTGGATCCACTTAAACACATGGACCAGTTTATTCTGTATAATACAAATGATCAGAGGTGGGAAGAGTACAGTGAAGTCTGAGGGGGACACGGGTCCTAAAGTGTTTTACCAAATTTCTATTATTATTTCTATTCCTTAATACTTTTATGTGCAATGTGAGCAACTATGACACAAGAATTTCCACTCAGGGATCAATAAAGAATGTCTGATTCTGGTTAGACTTTCAAAATAAAACTAGTGGTAAATGTTGTGAAATGTTGTAATTGTAATACCATCAAGGTTTGGATTAAAATAACATTACTTACGTGACTTAACTTACCGTAAAACTTTGATTGCCCGGGCTTATATTTGTTAAAATCACTGAATTGACCCTGAATATATTTGGGACAGTTGTCCATGTGGGGCTGGCCTTTAATTCCATTTGCAAAAAAACTGTTGCTCAGCAAAGATGTGGAACAGGCTGCTATAAAACTATTTGTTTCAACCAGTATGAATATTGTATAAAATTATATATATCAAATAACATATTGACTACCAATTATTAATTTGAAATAGCTCTGACAGATGGCTTAGGCGCTTTTATTTTGAAGGCAGCAAGGTAATGGGAAAAAAGCATTTTACTTCTGTAAAAACCTGACCAGGCTTCTAATCGAGACCTGCGTTTATATGTCAAAATGTGTTCCATTCCAGTAAATGGGACAGAAAGCTATTTCGGACTCAGCTATTATTTGAAGTTTTGCGGTGCGTAAGTTAAGTAACGTTACTTGTGTAACTTACGCAACTGACGTAATAAAAACATTGACTGTTTGTTTCACATGTTAAACAAACACCAGTGTGAAATTCCGGTTTCTGATCCACTCATTCAGCTCTTTGATCGGACTTTCCTTTTAAATATCCTACACCTACCTTTGGCGTTTATAAATGGTGCTGCAGGGCTTCCCCCAGTGCGTTGAACTGTGACGCCAATGTGTCTTGACAAAGCGTCCATATGTGATGACTTGAGTGTGAGAACGGGTTGGAAAAGTTGTTGTGTTGATAAAAGCAAAGTGCGACAAAATGCATGAATTCACATTTTCTTTTCCAATTTTCTGGAAATGGTAAAAGATTTGCTCTACACACAAATGGAAACCTGGCCTGTGACAAATACAATCTGAAGTTTCTGAATAGATTTTATTTTTCACTTACAGGATGATCAACATTACAGTTTGGTTTGAGTATTTTGTCATTAATGAGCTTCCATACACTCAGACACTCACACACAGGAGCAGCTGATCAAACATCACAGGATCTCTCACCCTCCTGCAGAGTTCAGTTCTACTCTGTTCGTCTCTCAGGTAAGTTGTTGTTGCTGCTGCTGCTTGTTTCTTTCGCTTCGTCTGTTTGCAGCCACATTAACTCTGTTGCAGCTGCACAGATGAATCATGGGAAACTTTCTGGCTGCTGTCTGTTGACGTGGCGAAGAAGCGAAGCTGCAGGCAGATTTGTGTTTGTTTATTAAAGGAGAAACAGCCGAGCTCACAGACACAAAGTCTGTCTTTAGTTTCTAATGATTAACATGTTTAATGACTGAACTGTGTCCCTGTGAAAACGCCCTGCACGCTGTCTCCATAGTAACACAACTTTATTTATGTCTTTGTAGTAACATAACTTTATAAATCAGTTAGTAAAGAGCTGAGAAAACCAGTTCACAGTATTTGTGTTTGTAAGTAACCTTCAGCTGTTTTGTAATAATATTACTAAACATTTTATAAGCACATTCTCACTCTGAAATCGTCACATATGGACACATGGTCAAAACACCTTAGCGTCATAGTTCAAAGAACTGGGTAGCGTTCTTTATGAATCCTAAAAGCAGGTGTAGGACATAAGGAGGTGGCTGAGGAGCTGTGGAGCCCTACATGGGCAAAAACATTGTTGAAGTTGTTAAAAAGCGATGCTTCCATATGTGACGAGTTGGGCTGAGAACGTGCTGAACCGGCAGCCCGATGAGCTTCATTAACATCAAGTCAGTTCAAATGTGTGTGTGTCATTTGTTTACGGTGGTTAAAAGTAGCTCATTTACTCAGATATTGTATTTAAGAGGTACTTGTACTTCAGTATTAGCTACTTTGCACTCAGAGGGAAACGCTGGACTTTGAACAAGCAGATATTTTATTGACACGTGGATGATCAGCTGTCCACATACTTTTGGCCACAAAGGAGCCGATCAGAGATTTGTTAAATACACTAACTGATCAATAAATCAGAACCTATTGATTGATCTTTAAAGAGTTTATTGTCCTCTTCCTGTCTGTTTCAGGTCAGCAGCTCATTAAGAGATAATTCATTATTTCTCACTGTGATGTTACCTGATGCTCGCCCTCTCTCTCTCTCTTTCTCAGTCATGTTATCCTCGCTCGCCCTCCCACTCCGCCTCCGGCCTTCTTGTTTCCAAGGAAGCAGGCGCACCATGGCAACTGTCGTCTCTGGCATCAAGACGTCCAAGTGAGTCGGTCCACATACCAGTTTGTCTCGGTTCCTGCAGAGGGACCGGACGGGACCGGGATTAAACACTTTAAGAACTGATCCGGGTCTGTGTGTGAGCAGGTTGGTGAAGGAGAAGCTGAAGCAGGAGGTGGAGACCATGAGGACCCGGTTCTCAGGGTTCAGACCCAGTCTGGTCGTCTTACAGGTCTGTTGACTCAGCAGCTCAGTCTGAAGAGAGAAACCAGGACCCAGAGTGATTATTACCAACATTTAGGGCGCTCTCACTTCCTGTTTCCCCTCCTGATAACCTGAAGGTGCTCACCTGTGTTTCAGGTGGGAGACAGAGACGACTCCAACCTGTACATCAGCACCAAACTGAGGGCTGCAGCCCAGGTGAGGTGCACCGAAGACGGATTCTGGAATCTGTTGCTCCTCTGCTGTCAATGGTTCTGGGGATTCAGTTTGTGCATGTTTTGTTTTGTTGTGCGTGCGTTGGGAAAGTTCCACACAGGCTCTTAGAGTAAATATATTAGAGTTCAATAAGGAAAAAAAGTAGCCCAATAAAATAATTCTGCAAATGCAGTGAAGGAATTAAAGTTCTGAAATGTGTGATTTATTTTCATGAGAAATAAAAAGTGTCAACCCTCCTTGGTTTTGTTAAGTCGCACCCGACACAGAATAAAACGAGGCTAAGGTCACTTTAACGGTGAAACAAAGGGGACATAATGATGCTGACTGCTGCAGCTTTGGTAACTCTTTCAGTTTCTCGTCTGCAGATTGGAATCGATGCGAAACACGTGAGGCTGCCGACGACGGCGACGCAGGACGAGGTGTGTGACGACCCCGAAGACAGCCGGCCGTGGCGGAAGCTGCCGCTCTGACTGTTTCCTGTTTCCTGTGGTGCTGCAGGTCCTGCAGAGCGTCATGTGTGCCAACGAGAACCCGTCCGTCCACGGTCTGATCGTCCAGCTGCCTCTGGACTCCGTTAACCACATCGACACCGACCTCATCACCAACGCCGTCTCTCCAGAGAAAGACGTGGATGGGTGAGTCCTCACAGGAAGTCTGTCTTCTTCTTTTCTTTTCACGTCCTGGAGGGTTTTTGTTCTGTGGTTTCATGTTTGTGTTTGTCCTGGATATAAACCTCTGAACCTCCTGACCAACTGCTTTGACCTTTAACAACATGGAATAATCCTCTTAAATCAGATTATATCTACAGCGAGCTTCTTTTACTGTATTCATGGGGTCCAAAAACCAGGATTCAAATTTACTTGTAGGGTCCAAATTCTGGACCCCACAAGTTAAAAGGGCTCAGCTCAAGGTCAAGACTTGGTTATAGGGTCGGCGATGGCGCAATGTGATTCCTGCCTTTGGTGTGAGAGAAATGTGAGAGACCCGGGTTCAATCCCCCACTGTGGTGAGCAACACTTAACCCCTCGTTGCTCCAGAGGCGTGCGACATGTATAGCATGTTTAGCAATTGTAAGTCGCTTTGGATAAAAGCGTCAGCTAAAGGAATAAATGTAATGTAGGGTTCCTGTCCCCGCAAAGATAGTAACACAAACCTGTGTGTGTGCGCAGTCTGAGCTGTGTCAATGCAGGGAAGTTGTCTCGAGGTGTCCTGAAGGACTGTTTCATCCCCTGCACCCCCAGCGGCTGCATGGAGCTCATCAGACACACAGGTCACACACACAATACAACACACACAGTTAATTTAACCCTTTAATCTCGACTGCAGTGATGTGGTGATGATGACTGTGTGAACATGTGTAGCACCACACCGTTATCACAACATGAAGGACTGACAGTTTGTGGTAAACAGCTGACTAACCATGATTGCTTCGTGAGCCACGTTCAGTGCGACAAAGCGTTTAGTTGGACTTTACGCGTCTCACCTGTGACTTCCTGTTCCTGTGCAGGCGTGTCTGTGGTGGGGAAACACGCGGTTGTGATTGGTCGCAGTAAGATTGTCGGAGCGCCGATGCATGACCTGCTGCTGTGGAACCACGCCACCGTGACCACCTGTCACTCAAAGACCGCAGACCTACCTGACCAGGTGACGTCACCTCAGGAGGATGATGAGGATTTCTTTTATTATCCCAAATGTAAACGCTTCTTGTATGTGTGATGATGCGTTTCCTGTCTGCAGGTGGGCCGAGCCGATATCCTGGTGGTGGGGGCGGGAAGAGCAGAGATGGTGAGAGGAGAGTGGGTGAAGCAGGGAGCCGTGGTCATCGACTGTGGGATCAACTACATAGCAGGTACACACTGGTACTACAGCTGGTACTACAGCTGGTACTACGTGTGGTACTACAGCTGGTACTACAGCTGGTACTACAGCTGGTACTACAGCTGGTACTACGTGTGGTACTACGTGTGGTACTACAGCTGGTACTACGTGTGGTACTACAGCTGGTACTACAGCTGGTACTACAGCTGGTACTACAGCTGGTACTACGTGTGGTACTGCGTGTGGTACTACAGCTGGTACTACGTGTGGTACTACAGCTGGTACTACAGCTGGTACTACGTGTGGTACTGCGTGTGGTACTACGTGTGGTACTACGTGTGGTACTTCATCTGGTACTACGTGTGGTACTGCGTGTGGTACTACGTGTGGTACTACGTGTGGTACTTCATCTGGTACTACGTGTGGTACTATGTGTGGTACTGCGTGTGGTACTACGTGTGGTACTGCGTGTGGTACTACGTGTGGTACTACGTGTGGTACTGCGTGTGGTACTACGTGTGGTACTACGTGTGGTACTACGTGTGGTACTGCGTGTGGTACTACGTGTGGTACTACGTGTGGTACTGCGTGTGGTACTACGTGTGGTACTACGTGTGGTACACACTGGTACTACAGCTGGTACTACAGCTGGTACTACGTGTGGTACTACGTGTGGTACTGCGTGTGGTACTACATGTGGTACTTCATCTGGTACTACGTGTGGTACTGCGTGTGGTACTACGTGTGGTACTACGTGTGGTACTACGTGTGGTACTGCGTGTGTTACTACGTGTGGTACTGCGTGTGGTACTACATGTGGTACTTCATCTGGTACTACGTGTGGTACTACGTGTGGTACTACGTCAGGTACTGCGTGTGGTACTGCATGTGGTACTACATGTGGTACTTCATCTGGTACTACGTGTGGTACTGCAGGTGGTACTACAGCTGGTACTACAGCTGGTACTACGTGTGGTACTACGTGTGGTACTGCGTGTGGTACTACAGCTGGTACTACAGCTGGTACTTCATCTGGTACTACATGTGGTACTACGTGTGGTACTACGTGTGGTACTGCGTGTGGTACTACGTGTGGTACTGCGTGTGGTACTGCGTGTGGTACTACGTGTGGTACTGCATGTGGTACTATGTGTGGTACTAAGTGTGGTACACACTGGTACCACAGCTGGTACTTCATCTGGTACTACATGTGGTACTACGTGTGGTACACACTGGTACTACAGCTGGTACTTCATCTGGTACTACGTGTGGTACTGCGTGTGGTACTACGTGTGGTACTGCGTGTGGTACTACGTGTGGTACTACGTGTGGTACACACTGGTACTACAGCTGGTACTTCATCTGGTACTACGTGTGGTACTACGTGTGGTACTGCGTGTGGTACTGCGTGTGGTACTACGTGTGGTACTACGTGTGGTACTACGTGTGGTACTGCGTGTGGTACTACGTGTGGTACTGCGTGTGGTACTGCGTGTGGTACTACGTGTGGTACACACTGGTACTACAGTTGGTACTACAGTTGGTACTTCATCTGGTACTATGTGTGGTACTACGTGTGGTACTACGTGTGGTACTGCGTGTGGTACTACGTGTGGTACTACGTGTGGTACTGCGTGTGGTACTACGTGTGGTACTGCGTGTGGTACTACGTGTGGTACTGCGTGTGGTACTGCGTGTGGTACTGCGTGTGGTACTACGTGTGGTACTACGTGTGGTACTACGTGTGGTACTACGTGTGGTACTGCGTGTGGTACTACGTGTGGTACTGCGTGTGGTACTGCGTGTGGTACTGCGTGTGGTACTACGTGTGGTACACACTGGTACTACAGTTGGTACTACAGTTGGTACTTCATCTGGTACTATGTGTGGTACTACGTGTGGTACTACGTGTGGTACTGCGTGTGGTACTACGTGTGGTACTACGTGTGGTACTGCGTGTGGTACTACGTGTGGTACTGCGTGTGGTACTACGTGTGGTACTGCGTGTGGTACTACGTGTGGTACTGCGTGTGGTACTGCGTGTGGTAATGCATGTGGTACTACGTGTGGTACTACGTGTGGTACTACGTGTGGTACTGCGTGTGGTACTGCGTGTAGTACTACGTGTGGTACTGCGTGTGGTACTGCGTGTGGTACTACGTGTGGTACTGCGTGTGGTACTATGTGTGGTACTAAGTGTGGTACTACGTGTGGTACTGCGTGTGGTACTACGTGTGGTACTGCGTGTGGTACTGCGTGTGGTACTACGTGTGGTACTGCGTGTGGTACTACGTGTGGTACTGCGTGTGGTACTGCGTGTGGTACTACGTGTGGTACTAAGTGTGGTACTGCGTGTGGTACTACGTGTGGTACTACGTGTGGTACTGCGTGTGGTACGGCGTGTGGTACTGCGTGTGGTACTACGTGTGGTACTGCGTGTGGTACTGCGTGTGGTACTACGTGTGGTACTGCGTGTGGTACTGCGTGTGGTACTGCGTGTGGTACTGCGTGTGGTACTAAGTGTGGTACTAAGTGTGGTACTAAGTGTGGTACTACGTGTGGTACTACGTGTGGTACTAAGTGTGGTACTGCGTGTGGTACTAAGTGTGGTACTGCGTGTGGTACTACGTGTGGTACTACGTGTGGTACTGCGTGTGGTACTGCGTGTGGTACTAAGTGTGGTACTGCGTGTGGTACTACGTGTGGTACTACGTGTGGTACTACGTGTGGTACTGCGTGTGGTACTGCGTGTGGTACTAAGTGTGGTACTGCGTGTTGTACTACGTGTGGTACTACGTGTGGTACTAAGTGTGGTACTGCGTGTGGTACTAAGTGTGGTACTGCGTGTGGTACTAAGTGTGGTACTACGTGTGGTACTACGTGTGGTACTGCGTGTGGTACTGCATGTGGTACTAATAAGATGCTTTCCTTTGGTGTTTGAACTCTGATTTCTGTTAAATATATTAACAGTAATTAATTTGCTCTGTGTGACCTTTGACCTCTGAGTGACAGATAAGACGAAGGCGAGCGGGAAACGGGTCGTCGGCGACGTCCACTACGCCTCAGCCAATCAGAGAGCAGGATTCATCACACCTGTTCCAGGAGGTGTGGGGCCGATGACGGTGGCCATGCTCATGGAGGTGTTTTATTTTGTTTTGAAGTATTTTGAAGTATTTTAAGTTCAGAGAAATCTCCATAAATATAAAAGCATGTGTTCTAAAGCCGAGAGTTTCTTCATGAGGAAACAGGAACAGATGTGTTTCCTCGTTAACACCTTCAGACTCTTTCATTACAGCAGAGACTCGTTACGTTTTAAAGATTAAATGTTCAGACATTTATCACAATAACATCAATTATTAATCTGGAGTGCAGAACTAATGAGATTTTACTCCCTGAGTCTCGCCTGCAGGCGCAATAACCCTGAGACTCTGGCAGTGATGCTTCATCTGTGACTCCTCGGAGTTCATATTTGAAGATACTTTATTCAGATTCAGGAGGAAATGTGTTCTGTTCACTTTTGTGGTTGTGCTGATGTTACATGTTTGTTTTTGGTGGTTTTGTTTCAGAACACGGTACAGAGCGCTCAGCGTTTCCTCCTGAAGAATCAGCCGACGAAGTGAAAAAACGACACTGCAGGAAAAACTGAGAGGTGAAAAACATGTGAGCAGACGTTTTTTTAAAAATTATTACAATTTTATTTACTAATTATTTATATTACACATTAGTCTGTGTAAAATTATGACTTTATTCATAACACTGAGAGTGTTTCTGATCTGACCTAAAGAGACCAATAAAGTTTTATTTCATCTTGATGTCATTTCATTTAGGGGCTCTGAGTGAAGACACATATTTTACGTCCATAATCAGAGAATAAAACAACTAAAACAAGAAGAAGAAATGAAATCTACTTGTTGTTGACTGAGCCTGTCAGTCCGAGCTCAGGGTCACACTGTCCTGACAGTCTGAACTCAGGGTCACACTGTCTCCTCTCATCTTCAGCAGCAGCTGTTTGTTCAGGGGTCAGAGGTCGTTGTCATGGAAACCAGCAGTTTCCTACTGTGACACCATGAAGTACCTGATCAGAGGGACGTTCGTGTTTCTGATGAATCAGTTTAATAATAAAACTAAATCATCTCATTTTTATTCTGTTCGTCTGTTTGTGCTGCTGGACGCAGGTCGGGGGGGTTTAATAAGAAACGATTAACAGAAGCTTTTGAATCAGAACAAACAGTTTGTGGAGGTCGTGCAGCTGACGGCTCGTTAGTGTTCAAACAAACAGGAAGTCGCCGCCAGAATAAAAGCTTGTGACTGTCAGAGCCTCCAGATAGAAAGTCGTTAGTAACTTTAAACATGTGAAGATTTAATTCATCGCTCAGCTGAATTTTAATGTTTTTATTCATAATAATAATAATAAACTCTGTTTGCATCACATGTTTGAAGAAAAACATCATAACGACCGTCTTCAGTTATTGACTCTATATTAATGAGCTGGTTTGTTTTGTCTTTTAAAAACTTTTAAATAAAGTTATTCTTGTTACATTTTCATCATGTGTTGGTTTGAAGACAGCTGACTGACAGCTGTGTGACGCTGGAGGCTCTCTGGGTTTCATGTCCTTAATAAATTTCATTGTTTCTGTTTTTGCTTCTTCAGGAGGAAAAAGTTTTTTTCTGACGGCTCGACATGTTTATTAAAAAAACAAATGTTCTTCTTCTGTGGTTTCTGTGCTCGACACTCAGAGATCAATAAACATTCGTTCAGTCAGCAAGTTTAATACTTTTAATACATTTTGATTTGAGTAAATTCTGTATTTAAACTAACGATATGAAACTAAAACAGGAAGTCGTCTTATTCTGAATCAAACCAAAACAAACCACATCATGCCTCATTAATCAACACAAGATAAACACGTTAATGAGCAGAACATGAATCAGACACGATTAATTAAAGAGAATTCAAATGATTACGTCGTGTTTTTAATGGAAGAGTTAAGCCCTGAGCTGTGACTGACAGGCAGAGCTTCCTCTCAGCTGCTGTTCAGCCTGAAGCTGATCATCAGTCACTTTGACCTCGTGAGTCTTCTTCTCTGGCGGAGGATAATAATCAGCTGTCAGCTGTCAGCTGTGGTCCACCCGTCTCCCCTGCAGGTCCAGTTGGGTGCATTATGGGAAATGTAGGATCCAGCGTTAAGCCAATCACAACAAGTGACGTCACACAAAGCGACAGTGAAGCTTTTTTGAGTTTCATGCTAACAGTTGCTCTGCTGGGTGATAAAGGGTCTTTGTTCTGATTTTCTCTCCTGTCGCCTGAACACACCGCTGACTCAGATCTGATTGGATTAAAGTCTGTCAGACCTGCAGGCAGCGTCCCTCCTCTCATGGCGCTCGCCATCAGGCGTGGTCTCTGCAGCCCTGCGGCTCTCTCTGGACGCCGTCCGACTCGCTCTGCTGCTCTCTGCTCAGCTGCTCCACGGCGGCGTTCATGGCGGCTCGGACCAGAGAGCGGGCCGTCTGAACCAGCCGCCGCTCGCTGTGGTCGAAGCTGAGGAGGAGGTGGTTCTGGTTCACTAAAGCAGGACCGCCCACCCGGCGGTCTTCCTCCTCCTGAGTGACGTCGTCTGCAGGAACCAGCTCGATCCGGATACCGGGTCCGTTAGTCGGCGGCAGAAGGGACTGTGAGGTAGTTTCAGGTTCAGCGTCCAGGACGACGGCGGTGGAAACACAGCAGACCTCGTCTTTGACGTTGTTTGCGTCTTTAACGTCCTCGCCGTCGGTTCTGACGGTTTCTGATCCGTCTCCGGCGTCACAGAGCTGCTGATCTTCAGCTGGAGTCTCGTCTGGACTCTCCTCAGTCAGCTGGACCGTCACAACCTGCAGACTCCCCACTGGAGCTCCAGCTGAACGTGGCGGCGCCTCACACCTCGCCGTGTCCTCCATGTTTTCCAGAGGGACACCAGACGACCTTTTCTTTCCTCCACTGCTGAAAATGTTTCTAATTTTTTTTTGGAAGGTCGTCGAAGGTTCGTCACCATCTTTCTCCACAAAACCTCGGCGAGCATTGGACGAAGTCCGGAACCGTTTAAACACCGTCCACGCCGTCCCGTTAAACCTCCTCCTCCCTTTAGAACTGTTCTCGGTGTCTTCTTCTGAAGCGGCGTCCGTCTCCTGCAGCGCCTCCTCTGCTGTAGCAGGACGGTCGTTTTTCTGCTTCTCCAAACTTTCCTGGATGTTGGTCTTTTGCTTCCTGCTACAAACGACAGCAGGTGCGAATCTTCTCCACCACCTGCGTCTGTTCAGCTTCCTGTTTGTGATGTCATCATCCTCACCTGCCGCTCCACAGCGCCCCCTGGAGCCCTCCACGGTGACTCCAGATGAAACGTCCACGTTCATTTCAGTTTCCGTCAGCTCAGCAGCATCGGCGTCTGCTTCAGCTGAGGATTGGTTTCCTGTCTGGTCCCTGTTAGTCCGGGCCTCGGGTCTGTCCTCCCCGACACTCCTGGTCCTGGTCTTTCCCAGCAGCAGCCTGGGAGGACCCGTTAGCTTCCTCTTTAAAGTGGCTTTCTCTGCTCGCTGCACGTCCTCTCCGTCCTGCGTCTCCATGACTCGTCTCCACGGTGAAGCTGAGTGGTTTTTATTCTTCCTGGAGTCGTTTCAGCTTCTCTGTCAGCCGCCGACGAATCATCTGCTGCTGTTTGAACCTGCAGAGCCGAGACAGAGTTACACACCGCCGGCTCATCAAACCTCTGATGAACGTTAAAATAGAAAGAAGCAAAAAGCTACATTTTCAGATGGAGCTTAAATTCCCTCTCTGAAAGTCTGTCAGCTAAATAAATGCCGGCTGAACTGTGAACACATTAGAACAGTAAAGTAAAAGGACATAAAAATCATGTTTCTGTTGGGGAAAGGTAGCTGTTTAAATAAAAATAAGTTTCACAGTTCAAACTGTTATCTATAAAGAAAAAGGTTTAATGGGTCAGTTAAAGATAATTAGCCTGAACATGCTGCTGTTTAACTGTGAACGCCTCAGGATGAACTGACGTCATTCAGTCGTTCACTTTCCGTTAGAATTTAAAGTTAATTTAAAATCAAGCTGCTCTGCCTTCTTCACGTCACACATGAGAGCAGAGAAAGCAAAGCTGGAGACGCCTGAACTGCAAACATTTTATTTCAGAAACCCAATAACGAGTTTTTTATCCTTAGAGCAGAGATGATTTCTCAGCACACGTATCTGTAACGCAGATTATCGACCGTCTCGCTGAGGAGCTGGAGAGGCAGAGACACAGACCTCTGTCAGAGTTACAGACTGAATAAAGCAAGAGTAAATCTTTCTGTCAGATTTATAAATCCTCCTCCTCAGCTGATCCCAGATCAGAGTCTTTAATCAGAAGTCTGATCAGCTGATCATCAACAGAGGAAGCCTCACCTGAACGTGGATCTCCGTCCTGATGCTGATCAGATCTGTTTCTCTGAGAGAGGACACGCCGAGCCCGTCTCTCTGCATCCACCGCCCCAGTTTCCACAGCAACCTCACCGATTGGCGTTTTGTTTTACAGAAATTGCATCTCCGATGTGGAGGCGAGAGGGCGGGGGAGGGCGAGCGTCCCCCCGCGGGGGAAACGAGATTTGGTTTTATTTCCCATTATGAGTTTGTGCCGGCTGAGCCGTTCTATCTTTAGAACCTCTGATGATCGGAACCTGATCAGAAGCCGGCGTTGCAGCAGAGACGATCACAGATGGAAGGTTACAGGAGACCGGATCAGGCCCCCAGGAGCCTCAGGGCCACATGTGTTTACTGAGAGGTTCTAAATAAATCAGGTTCTTCTTGTTCTAACGTCAGCGGAACGACCACAGAGACACAAACTGCCGGAGGCGGCACGGATCAGCACGAGAAGAAGACGAGCAGAGGTTCAGCACGATTTTAAAGAAATATGAAACGTTGAAGTACATGGAGGTCAGTGGCAGCGTTAAACACCGTCCTGCATTCTGGACACTTTTCTGCTGCTATTTCTGTGGAAATGTTTGTCTAAATATAGAAGGAAACAAAAAACTTGGCTGGCAGGTGACAGTATAGAGCCGGAAAGTTACTTTTGTTTCTTCTGTATTTAAACTGAATTTAAAATGTTTTCTCATTATGCAAATAAACCTTTCATTTGTTAGTTTGTGGTGCAAGGTTCAACAAATGCTTTCAAAATGGCAGGTACACGTCCCCAGAGTCCCCAGAGTCCCCAGCGTTCCTAGAGTCCCCAGCGTTCCTAGAGTCCCCAGAGTCCTCAGGGTCCCCAGAGTCCCCAGCGTTCCTAGAGTCCCCAGAGTCCCCAGCGTCCCCAGAGTCCCCAGCGTTCCTAGAGTTCCCAGAGTCCTCAGGGTCCCCAGAGTCCCCAGCGTCCCCAGAGTCCCCAGAGTCCCCAGCGTCCCCAGAATCCCCAGCGTCCCCAGAGTCCCCAGCGTCCCCAGAGTCCCCAGCGTCCCCAGAGTCCCCAGCGTTCCTAGAGTTCCCAGAGTCCCCAGCGTCCCCAGAGTCCCCAGCGTTCCTAGAGTTCCCAGAGTCCTCAGGGTCCCCAGAGTCCCCAGCGTCCCCAGAGTCCCCAGTGTCCCCAGAGTCCCCAGCGTCCCCAGAGTCCCCAGCGTTCCTAGAGTCCCCAGAGTCCTCAGGGTCCCCAGAGTCCCCAGTCCCCAGCGTCCCCAGATTCCCCAGATTCCCCAGTCCCCAGAGTCTCCAGTGTCCCCAGAGTCCCCAGCGTCCCCAGAGTCTCCAGTGTCCCCAGAGTCCCCAGAGTCCACAGTCCCCAGAGTCTCCAGTGTCCCCAGAGTCCCCAGCGTCCCCAGATTCCCCAGAGTCCCCAGTGTAAATGACACCTATGCACATGGTCGTGTTTCCGTCCTGTGTGGACGGCTGGAGGCTCCGTCTGTGACCTTCAGCTACATGTAGCACAAACATGTTGTAGAAGGACGAGGGAACACGTTAGTGTCATTACAGTGAGACTGTGACTGATGTCATGTGACCCACTTTAATAAAAGCTGCAGGTGGAGCTGAGCGTTCAGCTGCAGCTGTGTCGTCCCTGAGACCAACAACAGTAATACTTCATTACATTAACACAGCGCAGTAAATCATAATACCACCGATGTGCAGCTCCACCACATCAGCTGGAGGTGGCGAGGGGGGGGGGGGCATGGAGCCAGTTACTCTGGGGGAGGATTAGAGGGCCAGATGGAGGTTGGGAATGTTGCCATGGAGCCCCCGACTCTTTATGCTAAAAATCAACACCTCCAGATTCACGCCTGGAGTCACTTCCTGTCACTTTTCACTGGTTTTCTTGACAAAACCTGGTTTGGTGACCAGCAGTCGGGTACAGATGATCGGTTGATGATCTGCTGCAGCTCTAAATGTCGTCGTCTATTTTTAAAGATGTGAGGAACCTCGGCAGCTTCGGTTTCTATAGCGATGGAGAGTAAAAATACATCCATGTGTCCCTAAGCAACAGCAGATGGACCAATCAGAGCCTCGGACAGGTGAGCGCCCGTCCGTCTTCAGGGAGCCTCTGTGGTTGGTTAATTATTAATGTTAGCTGCTCACACAGCACGCAGCACACCTGAACTCACCACCGCTCACCAATCAGAACTCACCGACAGCTGCCGACTCCTCCACCAGCCCCGCCCACACAGAAACATTACAGATTAACAGCACCCAGCACAAATACACCAACTTCAATGTGAGATCACGCTCAAGACTTTAACTTGAAATAGTTTAATTTAATCTGCTAATCTAGACTTTGTGTTTTTAACTGACTCCTGGTTAAAAACTAGTGACGACAGCCAGCGAGCTGAACTCAGTATGACTCTTTCAGCAAACCCAGAGTCAGAGGTCGGGTTAGTCAAAACCTGGAAGATCTTTATTTTTATCAGCTCTTGATTTAAATTAAAACAGAGATGTTCTTAGTGGTGATTTTAATCTCCATGTTGATGATGACTCTCTCTCTCTTGTGTTTTTTAAACATCACCTCTTCTGTTAACTTTACACAATATGTGTGCAGACAAACGAATGACCGTGTCCTTACATTGGACCTGGGTGTAAACATGTCCTCTGTGCTTTTACTGGACATGACTACCCTGTATGGAAATATATTACTGTCTTTATCCAAGAGCACGGCCTTAACTTCAGAGCAGAACTTCTTTATTTTAGGTCAGTTTTTGTTACGCATTCCTTCAAAACCCTGGCGACAAAACCGAGATCCTGGTCTTCGGGTCCCAGCAAACACTGCCCTCTACTGGTTCCCTAGTGGATCACATCAGGCCTGTGGCAAAGAATCTTAACTCTTAAGGGACACTGAGACCTTCTAACACGCCTTCATCTCATCACGCCTGGATTATTGCAACAGCCTTTTCACCTGTTTAACCCAAAAATCTATTGATCGACTCCAGACTGTCCAGAACTCAGCTGCCAGGCTTTTAACCAGAACAAAGAAATATGACCACATTACTCCTATTTTAGCTTCATTACACTGGCTCCCAGTATGTTTTAGAATTGACTTTAAAATTCTATTGATCACTTTTAAAGCTCTTCATGGCCTCTCGCCTTGTTATATTTCTGACCTTTTAGTCCCATACGCACCAGCACGTACCTTGAGATCCTCGGGCAGAGGTCTGTTGTCTGTTCCAGAGTCTCGACTGAAAACTAAAGGGGACAGAGCGTTTGCTGTCAGGGCCCCGAGGCTCTGGAACAGCCTGCCCGAGGAAATCAGGTCGGCTGAGTCAGTGAACTCTTTTAAGTCCCTTCTTAAAACATACTTTTATAGGAGAGCCTTTCCTGATTATAGTTGATTTTAACTGTTTTTAAATTCCTTACAAGACTCTTCTTGCTTTTATCGCTTGTGAAAGCACTTTGTCACGTGGTTTTTATTCATTATTATTATTGTTTATAATTTACAGATGTGTTAGATGAGAATTAAAACTTCTGATCTTTAGTTTAATAACATGAAGATAAAATGAACAAACACGTACGAGAGTTCAGGAGGAAAACCTCGTATCTCTCAGTAGTGTCAGATTATTGTTGTTAATCTGATGGCTGATTATTTTCTGCAAACACTGACATCATGGTTAGAATTCAGCATCTTCAGTGTTGAGCCGTTCACATGTTGCTGATCAGGTTTTTCCTCTCTCTGCCTATGTGACATCACATCCATGAATTAGCCAATCAGCAGGCACCGTCACCTGAATCTGAGCGAGAACCTGCAGCTTTGAGATTAGATTAATATTCTGCTCATCATGAGGTCACTTCCTGTTTTTATTATAATATTTTCACATTAGTATTGAAACAGTTTAATGACCCTGTGATTTACTGAGTCACTGTCAATATATTAATAGAATAAAGCTGTATTTCTGTCTGTTGTCATGAAAGAATAACTTTAATTTTACATGGGGAAAAATGAGATAAATTTTTATAAAGTCATACTGTAATGAAAATAAATTTCTTAGTAGATTATTTAGAATAAAGTCGTCATCTTTCAGGTTGTTGACTTTTTCTTTTTGTAAAATCAGGATCATAAAGTTTAAATTTTATGATTATAAATGTATTTCTTTTACAAGAAAACATCTTGATATCACAAGAATAAAGTGTCACTTTAAATTAAATGTACAGTTTGAGCTGCAGGAGGAAAAACACATTTCACATCTTTTTAGGTTCCTGCTGAGTGAAAGCTTCCCTCGCTGTTCTGCCCTCTGCTGACGCCTGCTGGACTGAATCTGTTACTGCAGGAAATGAAGCACCTGAGATCAGACGAGGGTTTAACCTTCAGCACTCAAAGGCTCACTCACTTTCATTAGTCTTGGATGACCATGATCTTCTGCTGAAAGGTCAAGAATGAGCTTTCAAGTTTGAAAATGTTATTCTCTCGCTGATTTCTATTATTTTACAAACATTATAACTTGTACATCCTGTTTATTCCTTGATAGGTTTTTGTTTGTCCTTGTATGTGTAAAAACTACTTGACAATAAAGCTGTTTCTCATATCAGTACTCTTCTCGCAGTGGTTCACACACACTCCTTCAACATGTGAATCATTCATTCATTCATTCATTCATTCATGTATCAAGTATTGATTTTACAATTGATTGTTTCCGTTACAGCCTCTTAAGTTTTATATGTGATTTCCTATTTTTGTTTTTCTTTCTCACTGGAATATTATGAGTTGTCCTTTGTTGTTTCTCGGTGCTGCTTCCTCCACTTAGTTTACAGGTGTGATGAGAAGCTGATGTTCAGTCTGCCTTGGATTATTTGATGCTTTTCTCTTGTATGTTAATCATCACAATAATAAATAAAACTATTTTTTTTAACTTTAATGTAACTAGTTTCCTCTGTTGTTTGTTTCTTTGTTAAAATTATTTGAATATAAAACAAAATGAAACCTTCACATGACGTCCAGGAGTCTTTAAAGTTTTGGGTTCCGACAATATTGTTATTTGCAGATTTATATCAGCTACAAATGATTAAAAAAATATCATGTCCTCAAACTCCAGCTCTGTCGTCTGATTGGTGGAAAAAGACATTTATTTACAAAACTTTATTGTTCCATCAATGAAAAAAACAGACGTCTATGTACAAAACACGTCAACACAAAACTTCCTGTTTTGATTTTTTTTACAGTGAAACACGACGACGTCACGACTGTCAATCAGACATTCACCAATCAATAATCAATGCCATCGCAACCGCCGGTCATGTGACCAGAGACACTAACAGCAGAGGACTCAAAGGACCACAACACCGTTCCATGAAACGTCTTTCAAAATAAAGTAACATCCTGTGATTCTCCTCATCATGGATCCGAGTAGCGAGGACTAAACTACTCTGTAGACTAACTACAACAGATTGTCTTGTTTAAAGGATTTTACAGCCTGAAGAAGTGAAAGTTTTCACTATTTCACAAGAAACAAACAGAAATAGAGAAATATCAAAGAAAAACAGAATGTTTCTTCCCCTCCTTTAACTGTTCAGTCGCTCGACACGTGACCCTGAGGTGAACCTGTGCGGTGTCAGACAAGACCAGCAGGCTGTAGCACGACTATAATATAATGCTTAATGTTTAATTTCCCTCCGTTCTTCAGATGTAAAATCTATTTAAACTATTATTGTGTTGTTGTGATAAAGAAACTGAATTGTGATGAACGAGCTGATGAAACCAACAAACTGCCCAGAAGGAAGCAAATCAATACCCTGCAGAATGATTAGCAGAAACGTGAATGTTTAAATAAGTGCAGTTTTTTCTATTTTAGAAAAGGAATAATTTGGTCAAAACATTAGTAAAACAGCTGGTGAACTTTGTCAATGACAATTTGATTTTGACTTAGATTGTCATGAAGCTTTGTTTTACTGATGGAAACGACACAAACACCATAACACCACCACAGAAGGCACTGCTGCTGCTCTACACACCTGACTCCTACGTCACTGATGGAGTTTACCTTAATGAAACCTGTTCGCTGGTGAGTCTGGAAGATCAGGATTCAACATTTCTCTGCAGGATTCCACAGAAATAAACACGATCCGATGAAATAAAACTGATCACACGATGTGATGTAAACGCTGTCTGAGAGAAAACGAACCATCACGTTCATCGAAGTTTAATCGATGATGAAAGTGATGTTAGTTTACTTCTTGATTAGCCGAATAATCATCTCGTTTACAAAATGTCAGAAAACAGTGAAAAAGAGTCCAACACGTCTTCAGACGTCTTGTTTTCTCCGACCAATAGTCCAAAACCCCAAAAATGCAGTTGACTGTGAGCAAATATTCACATTAGAAAAGCTGCAAAAGAAAAGTTTGACTTTTCTTAGAAAATGACTTTAAGCAATTCATCGATTTTCAGAGCACTTTTGATTCATTTTCTGTAGCTCAACTCATCAATTAATAGACTAATTGTTGCAGCTCTACTGAAGTTCATGAGCTAAAACTCTTAAAACCAGCAGTCCGACCCCCTCAGCTGATAACCACAGCACCACACTATGATCACGTGACTGATTCACACACACACACCTGCACAGGTACAGGACCATCAGACAGCAGCAGAGACAGAAACAGAACAACAACACAAACCTCAGAGTCCAGTCTGAGTCCAGAGAGAACGTCTCTTGGAACAACTCGTCTTTTTGCTACCAGACAACAGAACCACCTGTGTGCTCCGTCACGCCACCTGGAGGTGAAACACCTGTCATGGTTCATCTGATGACATCACTCGACGGGCACGCCGTCCACGCTCTCCTGGGAGACCTCAGAGTCCAGGGAGTAGCAGGAGCTGCCGTTGTCCTGTGTGTCCCTGTTGGCCTCCTCAGAGAGTGTAGCGGTTCCAGATGAGGCCACGCCCCCAGCACCGCCCCCTCCCTCAGCACCGCCCTCGCAGAAGTGGGCGGAGGCCTGGAAGAGCTGGCTGCAGAGGCGGTTGTAGCGGTGGTAGCGTGATGGTTTGCCAGTGTGGGTGTACATGTGCTCCTGCAGCTGGCTCTTGTGAGAGAAGCGCAGGCTGCAGACGGCGCAGGCGATCTTACGTTTGCGTGAGTGCAGGACGGTGGGAGTGGGGCTGCTCCCGCCTCCTCCGCCCCTGCTCCTCCTCAGCTCTGCAGCCAGCTGGTTAGCGAGCGCCTGGCTCTGTCTCAGCGCCTCCTCCAGGCACCCTGCATCCAGCTGCTCCTGGGCCCCTGGTGGTCCTTCCTCCACACCGGCATCCAGCTCGCCGCCCTGCGACAGCCCTTCCATCAGGCGGGTGGGATCGAGGGCGTGGCTGAACAGGTGCTCACGCAGGCCCTCGGGGGAGGAGCAGCGCTCTCCACAGCGGGGACACAAGAGGACAAGGGCCCTGTCTTTGAAGAGGAGGCCCTGACTGGGACTGCTACTCTGAGATGGAGACCCCAACCCCTGCCCCTCCTCCCCCTCGCCGTCCTCCCCCTCCTCCTCCTCCAACCGCTCCTGCTTGATACGAGTCGAGATGTCTGAGTCGTCTCCAGACGCCACAGAGCAGACGTTACGCAGCGCCGACATCTGACGGTCTGACGGGACCCCCTCCAGTCCGACAGTAAGAGACAGCTGGGAGTGGGACCGTGCCCCTCGGCCAGAGGAGCGTCCGTCCTCTGGTGCCCCGCAGGACACCGTGGTAGACTTGGGGACCCCGGGCGCCTCCTTGTTGGCCAGCTGGGAGGAGATCTGGATGCCGTACAGGTTGGACATGCGGACCACGTCGGTGGTGGCGTCTGCTGCAGCCTCGCCGGGTTTCCGGCACAGCTGGTAAGCGTGAAGAAACTTGATGCCTTCCTGCAGCCGGCTCTGGTCCACCGGCTGTTTGGGACACATGCCGGTGTACATGATGTGCAGCAGGTAGCTGAAGACGTCCGGCTGGATGTCCGTGGGCTGGATCTTTATACACTCACTGAGGACACGAACATGAGACAGGAAGGACAAAACGTCAGTGCCAATTTTTCATCCTGATCACACTGAGAATCAACATTAGTGTGCCCTGGTTCAGGACTCTCAGATGAGAGTCCCCCTCCCAACCCCTTGACCTGGATTGGTGGATGAAGATCATCTTGAAGTAGTTGGAGAAGGCGGCCAGCACGGCTCGGTGGGCTTTAAAGTAGACGTTTCCGATGGCGACGGTGCAGTCGCACAGGAAGCCGAACTCTCTCTGAACGTTGAGCTGCTGCAGCAGGAAGAGGCTGTGAGACGACACCTCCATGACCCACTCTGCAACGCACAGCAGCCGTTTCAAACCAGGACACAATGGGAACAACACTCACATTTAAACATGTCTACACAGTAGAACATTAAGGTCCCAGTAGTCTAGTGCACAG